CATCTTATCAGCCCAGGTCGTGAAGAAGAAAAAATCACTGACTAAAAGCAATTATGCACTCAGGTCTGGGACTGTTCTGGCGAAGTTTTCTAACACGAAAACAGTGTTATAGAGAATAGATTTACGCATATATACTGAATCGAAGCACCAGCGTTTCTTGTAGCAGTTCGTAAATTCAGACAAATATTTGCTAGAATGTGTATTTGTTTTTGGAATTTCGTGCAAAGCTACTCAAGGGCTACTCGTCTCTGATTTTGAAGTGATAGACTGGAGGGAAGGCAGCTAGTTGACATCACTCACCGCCAGGCCATTTCCTAGAAAACAAAAATATTATAACCATTTCTTGAATCTCCAAATGTTGTATATAACACTAAATGATTAAATAGAAATATACGGAGTCTTATTTGTCACTAACAAGTGAAGTTCATAATACAGTAAGAAACTGAATCGTGTATTGTTACAAAAACTTAGTACTAAAAGGTGCAACTAATGTGAATACAATCACAACTATTTACAACTATTTAGGACACATCGCTCGCAATCTGAGGGTCGCGGGTTCGAATCCCTGTCACACCAAACCTGCTCGCCCTTTCAGCCGTGGGGGCGTTATAATGTGACGGTCAATCCCACTATTCGTTGGTAAAAGAGTAGCCCAAGAGTTGGCGGCGGGTGGTGATGACAGTGTTATAGTCATATTATAGTTACAGTTATAGTCCTGTAGCTTTGCGTGAAATTCAAAACAAACAATAAATAGTGTAAAATGTCACACACAAAAAAAAGTTTTCGCTGTTAAATTATACTACTGACAAAATATTAATATTTAAAATGATGTAATTTAGTGCATTTCTTCAGATGTTTAATAAATGGCTCTTCAGCAAGTTTGATGTACACATTCGTGACATTAGAAGCAAAAAAGAAACGGTCGTTGAATATGTACAAGGCAGTTGGAAAGGCAATAAAAGCAAGTTGAAAAGGTCAAATGTTATTATTAAAGGCGTTACATGCATACTTTAGTGAGTGAATTCGTAACATTTCGTGTAAATCAAGGAATTTAAATGCTATAATATATTATAAGGGTTGATATCTGATGTTCGCTGACGACTCAAACGTTTTAGCATGTTTCGTACGTATATAAAATACATGTATCAGTTTTCACGCACTACAGTGATATATTCAGACTGTTGAGGGTTTTGTACTATACAACAAGCTTCGATTTGTCTTTTCGCATGTTTTACTGTAATTAGAATAATTGAATAATAATTCTCTGCCTACCTGATCTGTCGTTAGCAGGTTTTATTGTTTTTCGCTATAGCTTTTAAGTTGCTGTACTCTCAGTACTATGAATGTTAATTATGATAAGGTAGTGTTTTCTGAACGTTTTTAAGTCGTCCTTACCTCTTCTTGTTTATTATTTGATAAGTGTGATGATCACTAAATACTTATAGTAAAATAAATACACTTTGTACAATAATAATTATCTTACTTTCAGTTTATGCAAATTATTGTTCGTTTAAATTATTCTTAGGAGAATAACATTGACTGACTAGTGTTATTATGTAGAAGCATCTTTTTGCCTACGTCATATATAATGTTACACCTCCTAACTCACGTACATGATATAAATATGAATATTATCCGGAAAAGTATATATTTGTTCGTCTCATCATCAGACGGAATGAGCGTAGTATGTATGCTATATCTAAATAGTAAATATTAAGTTTGATTTGGTTTGTTTGAAGTTAAGCACAAAGCTACAGAATGCTCTGTCCACCACGGGTATCAAAACCCGGTTTTTAGCGTTGTGAGTCAGCAGACTGTGGGGCAAATATTAAGTATACTGTTGTATCTTTATACTTGTCATGGGACATTAGTATTATACCTATTATATTTTTAAACACTCCATTCTTTATCTAGTCCCTTAGGAATTAAAAAAAATAGAAGAGTGTATAATAATAGCATTCCAACCACACTCCATTTGTCATATCCATTGCCGATGACGCGTTTCCCTCAATCCAGAGTTCCTAAGGTCGACTTGGTTAAAAGAAACAAAAAAGTGTTTGGAACATTATTTATATACAAGCCTTCTGATACAACAACAATTGTTTACAAGCTGACGAAGCATAATTATAATTATACTCTGTTTGTTGTATCCCTGCCGGCTTGAAGAGTTCTGGATTGAGCGAAACGCGTCGTCGGCAGTAGGCATGGCGACTATAGTGTGGTTAGAATTTCATTATTTCGAAATATTCTGTAGTATCGTCTATTTTTATTCTATCTGATGAAGGCCTGAACAAATATGGCCGAAACATGTGGTAAAATACCTTTATTTTTGCAATAATAAATATTTGGTGGCTTAAATAACGTATTACTTTTATTAACCGTTATTTGACAAAAGCCTCTGTATGTGTGTGTCCCTTATAATTGGTGAACCACTTGGAAAATTGTCACCAAACCTGGCATATCTCCTCGTGTCTGTCTTGGTGTGATTTAAGGAGTTGTCTTTTGGATTTGACCCCCCCCCCCCCTCTGTGTAATCTAGCCCGCAAGTCTTTATATCTTCCTCGTGCATTTAACCGATACGTCAGCTAATACATAGTACATGAATTATAAAAGGGTCATAAACCTGCCTAACGACAAAGAAAACATCGAATTATTTGAAAGATCTGGTTTAGCTATCTAATGACAAGAAAATTTTATTTAGAAAATCAATAATATACAGATATACTTATGAATGTCTAACTTAAACACAACTCAAACTATATCATTCAATATTTAATGTCACGGCTTTAAAACAATATAAAATTAATCTCCGTTTCTAAAGTAAGTGGTCATAAGAAAATATTTCAATTATTTTATTAGTTCATTTCATTAACAAAGGTTTGTTAATCGAGTTCTTTGGTTTTGAAAGTTTATCTATAAGTCTGATCTTATTACTCATAGAATTATTATTAATTTGATAGTCCCCTAAAATAAAACATGGGTTCATTAATTATTGAATGACTCGATTAATTTGAAATTAATGAGAAAAAAATATATTATTTATTCTGGATATTATTTCTAAAATAAAGGCGTTTAGAAGAACCAGTGTTCAATGCTGCAACAACACTTGGTTAAAATAAACAACAGAGAATCTTGCCCTGAGCAAAGAATATTAGATATGTGAACAGTTTTGCGTCTAATTATGAGAAACGTAATTTATGAAGTTTACTTTCTTAACTCTGGATTAATAACAATGTATAACTTTTGAGTGATATTTGATAGTTATGTGGAAGATTACGTTGTGCTTCAGTTTTTGAAATTTCGATTATTTTTATAACTTCTTTGTAAACATCTGACCTTATTTTGTAGTAAATCAAAATAATGAAAGTTTGTCAAATAAATTAAACATGAAATTTACAATAACAAAGGAGATGCTAATATTTAACATGAGAAAAATAATTGTTCAAGGAACAAACATGCAACTAATTTTACTTGAAAGTTATTGTTGATGTTATAGCGCAAATCTACACAATGGGCTACCTACGCTCTCTCCACCGCGATGAATCGAATCCCGAATTTTAGCATTGTATGTCCGTAAACTTACCGCTGACCAACCAGGGACTTTATTGGAAAGGGCTACAGAAAAATAACTTTCTGGATGAATTTATAAACCATGTCAGTTATCTTTAAGCTTCCCAGTGGTCCAACGGTAAGTCTTAAGGCTTGTTACGCTAAAAATTGGATTTCGATACCCGTGGCACAACAAACAAACAAAAGTTATTTTTAAGCTTCAAGATATGCTTCTTACGCGTCTATAAGACGTGTCTGTTATAATTTTTAATATGTTAATTAAGAAATCAACATATAAATATGTGGTAAATTGAACTTCTAGCATCTTTTCAACAAACACTAATTCTTCTTTGAATGAAGCATGACTTCTCAAGAATATTTCTTTGTTTAAATTAATACCAAACTACTTATTTGGGTATTTATCCGGAGGTTTGGGAAGTGAGGCTGATTAAAGACTAGTTTTATTTAATTTAGTAAAAAAAACGAAAAAAAAATAGCACGATAAACATCTTACTATCTAAGACTACCATAAAGCCCTAAGAGTTAAAATATTTTTTGATTTTCTAATTTAATTCATCTTTGTTTGTGCACTTACATCCAACTTAATCCTGAATCGGGCGTGGCCAAGTGGTTAACGTGGCCTAGTGTATCCAAGAGTCCATGGTTCACGTCCCGTTGTTGCTCTTTACGACTATGTGTGCGTTATAAGAGTGATGAAGCCCAAAAGTTGATGGTGGATACTATTGACTAACTGCCTGCTCTCTAATCTACGAGTTCAAAATTAGGCCCGGCTAGCGCAAATAGTCCTAGCTTGCTTTGTGCAAATAGTTGAAATACCCAAACTATAACCAACTCACATATATATGACGGTCGGTGTGCTTTCTGGAAACGCATACTTAAGTTTATGTACAACGCGTACTTAAATTTATGTACAGTATGAGCTAATTAATACACATTAAAACATCGGATAAATTTGAGAATTTTACAACAGAATAAAAATCTTTATAAATATTACAATCATAATAAAATAAAAATTTTACAGTCTAAAAAAGTAATTATAACAAAAGTGATATTATTAACAATGCATTTGGTTTATACCCACAATGTATGTATTCACTATATCAGCCTGACAAAATGTTACTCTTAAAAGTACTTTTAGAAGAAAAAAAACATTTATTTTTCCTTTCGACCTTATTGCCATCGAAGTAGTGGTTGGTCGGTATTTTTTAAACCAGGAATTTTTTACTCCAGGGTGACTAGCACAGTCAACATGTTTGGTGACGGAAATTCGAACTCGCGACCCTTAGATTGCGAATTGAGCGTCCTAACCACCTGGCCTAGAAAAAAAATAATGCACCTTTAAATACGCATTTATGTTAAGCAATGCACCAGTTTCTGATTTAATTTATGATAGGATGATTTTTTTTACGAAAACCTTTATAATTTTCTAGGAAGCAAAGGAAGTGGGAGAGCCCTCTGTGGTCGAGGAGGTTGTAAGTAGACCTGGTCCGTCCCGCCCCAGGATACCGGAAATGGTGGTTCAAAGAGACTTCCGAAAGGTCGGTGGGATCACTTCGGAGGTCTTTCGGCAAATTGAAGCTGTCGAGAATGACTACGATGCTACAACAGCTGCTAATATCGAGGTGGTAGAGAGACGTGGAGAGATGGTCATCCGGGTTTTAGACCCTCGCAGGTTAGGTAGAGTTGGGGCCGAAGCTAGTAAAAAGTACCTGAGTGCTGCTACTAGTAGTCATACTGTTCAATTCATAGAAATTATCAAAAGGCCAGGACAGACGTTGGGGTTATATATAAGAGAGGGGGACGGGATCCGGCGGACAGGGGGAATGTACATCTCCAGAATAGCTCTGGAAAGTGCTGTGTACACCAGTGGATTGCTTAAAGTAGGTGATGAGATTCTAGCTGTGAACTTGGTTGATGTGAAGCACATGAGTTTGGACGACGTGGTCATCATCATGTCCATTCCAAGGCGTCTGGTGTTAACCATTCGCTCTAAGATCCCTGGAAGACTGCCCACTCACCCTCCAAGAAGGATTCTAGAAGAGATGCGCCCACCCATTGTAGTGTTGAAGAAAGAGATGGAAGAGGAAATCATGGAAGATGTTAACGGTAACAGCGAAAACGGGCAGTTAATCCATGCCAGGACAAAAGGCTTGCCATCAGGAATACCACCAGTAGCAATTCCATTAAAAGACCAAGAAAGACGACAGTATGATGACCACGGCCTCTACTATAACTCCCGTCCTCGCCTTCACAGAGCACCGAGGGTTGAAGCTCGGGAGGAAGAGAGACATTGGCGAGGGGAACCAGAAATATCTAGGCGTTCAACAATTACGCGTCAGCCAAGGACTCATTACAGGTATCCAAAAAAAATGTTAGAAAGCTTAGCAGAACAGGTACACACATTTCGCAGGTCCCCACCTCCACCAGCTCCTTACAAAAGAACCCAGCCACCTCGCAAAACTTTAGCTTCAAGACCTGAAAGAAGCAGCACTTCACGTGGCAGATACTGGGACGAATACGAAGCTGCTTTAAGTGGTCGACCAACAAGGATTCTAAGGGCGGAGAGTGAACAAAGGATTCCAAGAGATAATTACCAAGAAGAGGACATGAGAAACAGATATGCTGCTAGAAATCATCGACTTAGTTCACAAATGATGAGAATTATGCAACCAAGAGGTCGAACACGCCGATCTCTTAGAGAAGGCCCACCCCAGTCTGGAATCCTGCGGCAGCGACGCTCTGTGATAGAAAGTTGTTCCGATACCGAAGTGCATACAAACTCCAGGGAACCTGTTGTTTTGTATAGACAACATAGTTTAGGTCGTGTGACACCATCTATGGGTCATTTCCAATTCAGAAGCAATTCACTGCCACGAGTTCGAGCTGCTGACCTAGAGACCCGGACACACCGCCAGTCTGTCCGTTTTGGAAACAAAACTTTGCCTTACGACTCTCAGGAGGACAGCGATGGCGCATTGTCTGCCCCAGAGCTTCCATTCTCCAAATCGGGTCGGAGAGGCTCAGGTAAGACCTTCTTTTTGTATGTTTCTGTTTCCGACTCAAAATTGTGACTTCTTTTGAAGCTTAAACTTCAACAGTTACTTTGAAACTTAATTGTCACTAGCTGACGTACCCTTCCAACGCAAGGGAAAGACATAGGTGTCCAAGAGGATTACATGGGGGTAAATTCCGAATCCCGACCCTCTCACCAATGTAACTCTCCGGAGAGAGGGGGGCTAAAGGTACGTACCAAGTTTGATGACAATCAGTTCAGTGATTTGCTAGTTATGAGCAAACACACATAGATAAGTTCCAACAAGAATAGTGAAATATTTTATGACTCCCCCCTCTCTCTCTAGCAAGTCAACTTTCTCTTTTTTTTCGTACGCTTACTTGATACTTATAATGAGTCCAATATTTCTACTAAGTCAGTTTAAAATACTTTGTGAAATTAAGTACAAGAAAAACTGTTTCGTGCGATATTTATATCTTTCACTATAAATTTCAATTTGAAATAAATTACGTATCGAATATTAAGATTAGCTTGCTGACTGAATCTGTGTGCGAAGTTAGACAAGTTATAACAAGCTCCGAATTACTTAACAATAGCTATAAAACTATTAAACAGCAGAAAAATTGAAAACTTTTACTGGCATGAAGCACAACGGTATTTCTCAAACGTTATAACAAGTCAGCATGTCTCCGAATTACTTAACAATAGCTATAAAACTATTTTCTTTGTACATTTTGAAAGTTAGATCTAATTTAATTATTATTAATTAGAATAAAGATGAGATGCAGTTAAGGATTCGAGAAATCATAGTCTTTAAGTGTATGCGACATATCTTTCTTTCTAAAATTCTAAGCTTGTCGAAATTTACTTATACGTGTTGTCTTATTTTTAGTGTTTCAATTTAGAGATTATCGACTTTTTAACGCATTTCTAAATTGTCTACACAACAAATTACTTAAGGGTTAATGACGTTGTAACAGGGTCTCTAATAACACATGTGTCACACAATATATGTTAACAAAGATATCGACGATACCTTTAATTACTACTGGTGTTGAGTGATTGTTTTGGTCAGTTTTTTAGGCTCAATGTTGTAACAGGTAAAACCATATATCTACTCGATATATTAACCCAGGTGGCAGTGGACGGTATAAAAGTCAGTTAATTGAGGGTTAAGAGTTTTAGAGGTTAAACTAATATCCCGGGATGTATTATGTAGAAAGAACTGTACACGCTTTTTTTTTTCTTTAGTTAATTGAGGGTTAAGAGTTTTAGAGGTTAAACTAATATCCCGGGATGTATTGTGTAGAAAGAACTGTACACGTTTTTTTTTTCTTTAGTTAATTGAGGGTTAAGAGTTTCAGAGGTTAAACTAATATCCCGGGATGTATTGTGTAGAAAGAACTGTACACGGTTTTTTTGCCTTTTCTTTTTCGAAAACAGTTCTGCTTAGAACACGCACACTTGACTTATGAAACATCGACAAATGCTAGAAAGTTGTGTTGAGATCAGTTTTCCCTATGGTGGGTTCGAAACCAGGAAGAGATGCTATATTTGTGAATAATTGTAAACAGACAAATTACAGTTACAACAAAAACAGCAATTTACGGCCTCTATTTTATACGAAGATCTTGTTCGCCAGTGAGCTTTGTCAATACCTCAAGATGGACGACAGACTACGTCACAATCACCTAGTCTCGGGGCATACTATAATACATTTCACCAATAAGGGGTCCTTAAATGTGCATGTTCGTTCATTTGTGTCAACAACCTTTTTGTCCCCCAGTGGGACAGCGGTAAATCTTCGGATTTACAATGCTAAAATCAGGGGTTCGATTCTCCTAGGTGGACACAGCAGATAGCCCGATGTGGCGTTGTTATAAGAAAACACACACAAACAACCTTTTTCTGTTAAAATCTTATATTTTCTACAAATAAGTTGCATAAGTTGAACAATATTGGTGGAGCCAACCGGATAAAATTTCAACCAAGCTGTATATGGTATGGTTCGAACCGGATTTCTATGTTATTTAATATATTCAAAATCCATAAAAACCGCATTGGGAAATAGTTTTATATGCAATTAGTTAAAGTTACTTTTTTTAAACATTTTACTCGCGTCCCCTGAATACAAAATTAGTATATGGCCTCATAAGTTTGAAATCATGAATCGTGTTAAAACTGTCAAAATAAACTAGAAAGTCCAACATTCGCAAGCGAATATATTTTATTCGATAAGATCCTCAGAATATGGAAGATGTCAAGAGAGAATTGTGTTCAAGGCAGGGGAAAGGGGCATAAAATGTAACTTATGTTCTTCAGGTAGATAGACTCTTAACATTAGATTTACTTAAGACGATGTATTTGAGCATACTAAGTTGTGACCATATAACACATAGACAGTCAGTATCTGCATAAATAGATTTATTCACAATGATAAAAACTTTACAATTAATACTTGGGCAAATAATACTCATTCTTCGCGATATATTGCAGTTCATGCCTTTTACGAATTAAAACAACTGTTACTAACAACCCTTTGTAATGTTTATATGCAGATAACGGCTCTAAGTTCAGAGCTCCCTCTTACATACATTGCGATTTTTTTATTTGTTTTTTTTTTACATCTGACCACTGTAAAATCAAAAGGAAAACATAAATCCTAAATACGTTTGTTCAGTCTGTGTAGGATGTCAAAGGGCATATTTGTGCAAAGTGTAGTCACGATTAGTTGAAATACAGAGAAACGATAGGCCAAAAACCCTAATTCTGTGAAATATTTTTTATCTTTGACCCCTGTAAGGTCACAAGAAAGGCATAAATCCCGAATCTGTCTTTTAAGTTTCTTGGAGCTGCCCAGTTGTATCGTTATACAGTTATGTCTAAATTAATCGAAATAGAAACGAATTGTAGGCCTGAATCCCTAAGATTGCATAAAATTACACATCTTCAGATTCTGGGATTGTCGTAAGGTATCTTTGTGCAAAATGTCGTCTGAATTGTTCTAAATATAAAGAAATAGAAGAAGAAAATTTTGTTTTTATTTTTTTACCATTGACCACTGTAAAACCAAAAGAAAGGCCCAAATCCCAAATATTCCTGCTTTAGTCTTATTTCTATTAGTGGAAATATAAGAGAATTGCACGACAAAATACGTGTTTTTTTATGTTTGACCATTGAAACGGGAGCCTAAATCACAAAATGAAAATGGGATCTGGGCATATTGAACCAAAGAATTGTTCATCAACCATGACATAAAGGAGTGAGGTACAGATGTAAATGTTAGAAAGAAACATTGGAAATACAACATGTCTTCCTTCCTATAGGCGAGACATAATTAAATTTCTTTAGAAAAAATGTCAACTTTGCTTTCGGGAATTTATTTTAACAAAATAAAATAACATTAACGAAGCTGGGAAATAAAAAACAGATGTAGAAGAGGAACATTACAAGTAACAGAAAAGGATTTTTCGTCTTCGTAACTCCGCGGGATTCAAGAAGGAGAATTTTGATAAATGAAAAGATGACGCTAGCTTTCCTTTGTCTAGTTTTATGGTTGAAATAACTCAAAGAAGACTAGTCTCGGACAAATTCAAAGGCATCTTACGTCGTTGTTGCGTCACGTGACTGGATCGTTTTGAAATAATACATTTTCCTTGTCTTGACGGCAACAAAATGACTATGCTTCATTTTAAAAGCATAACACAATGAGAGAAACTAGGCACACTCGTGGTAAAAATTAGTATTAAAAGTTATGAATGTTCTATTGATGGTTGCAATAGGAGTTTGAATAATGAAAGAAACTTAACTTTTGCACCAGCGTTCTATTTTAAACCCTAATACTTCGCATGTTATTTAATCACAAAACAATAATGCTGTGTAGAGGATTATACGCTGGCAATAAACATTCAATTAGTAAAGAAAAATACATAGTTATTTTGAATATGTATTTTGGCAAAATATGGTGAACAAACAGTGCAAAGAAGAAAGATTATTATGTACGCCAACTCGTTAAACTTTGATAAAGTCGCCATATTTATGACGTCATCAAGGGAATATGGGCATATAATAATTGACCAAAATTTAATTTTAAGAACGCCAAGTTTCAATAATATTGAATGTTGTCTTCTCACTTTTCCATCTTCATTTCTGAAAAATGAGTACTAAATATGTAGACCTTATGTAGAATAAGGTTAAATAGGTAATTTGCATAAAACCAAAATATCCCAAATGAGACTCACGTGGATTTTGGATAAGCTACAGAAATCGAAATTCAATTTCCAATGTTACCAAAAATAGCTTGGTAACATTTTTTTTCCAAATGTAACTCTTCAACGACCATACTATTAATTAAATGAACTAAATTAAGATGATATTATGTTAAAAGACTCGATGAAAGGACAACAGAGTGGTGTAATATTTAAATATTCAAGTTATGTATTGCATGAAATAGAAAAAAATAATTCTTCATTAAAAATTCAGTATACACAACAAGCTAAAAAAGTTGTAAATTATTTTCTACATACTGAACTGATTTTCAGTTATTGTCTAAATAACCTATTAGATCAAAATATAGATAGACTTTCAATAACATTAGAACTCAAGTAAGTAGAACTGTTTAAGCTCTTTTAATAATTATAGCTCTGATTAGCAGTATCTAAATATGAGTAAATAAGAATATCATTCAAAACCATAGTAAAGATAACAATATTGTTATTACTAAATTTCATAAACGGAATAGCATTGTTATTTTGGATAAATGAAGTATTTGAGTAAAGTGGATAACATTTTAAGAGATTCTACTAGCTTTATCAAGTTTCATCAATATCCTACCAAAACAAAAAAAAGCTGAATATCAAAGATATCTATTGAATAATAGAGCGTGTTGAGGGAGTTGGCTTCTGAGTACATGATGGGAGGAGATATGAAAGGGTGCTGCCCAGTAGGGAACAGTCTTTGAGGTCTACATTTTGGAGCTATCTACCCTCTGTTTGAGTGACCTCCCCCCCTA